AGAAAAAAACAAAACACCACTTTCCATTTCTACTTTACACAAAAATCAAACTGCTACTTAAGCTTTTAATTAATTTTGAAAACAAAATTACATGAAAAAGTAATCTTATTTAATAGCATTACTGTAATGGTGTGAAGCTATTTGTATTGTATTGCCCATTCATTGTACTGTGGAAGTTCTAGTGTGAGCTGCAGGCTGCCTTGCCTTTTCTTTATTTTTGGTAATGTTAGAATAATACAAATGTTCCAGTGTCACAGTTGCTAATGGTAAAAACAATGAATGTGGCAACCTCTGTTTTAGTTGCTTTCCTACTGTTTTCCCTTCCTTTTGAGTTTTTCCAACTGCTGCTACTATTAAACCCCTATTTCTACCCTAATTTACAACATTTTGTGTAGTCCTCTTAGTTACCTGTACCTTTTTCAAAACTGCTGTTTCCTTTCTCGATCTTCATTGCTCTCTCTTCCTTAGAATCACATAAAAGTAGAGGTGAAAGGGACTGCAGGAGATCATGTAGTCCAGCCCCCTGCTCAAAGCAGGACTGTCCCCAACGAGATTATCCCAGCCAGGGGTTTGTTGAGCCAGGCCTTAAAAACCTCCAAGGGTGGAGATTCCACTTCTCTAAGTAATTTGTTCCAGTTCTTCTAGCGAGAGAGTTTTTCCTAATACCCAAACTGAACTCCCCTTGCTGCAACTTGAGACCATTGCTCCTTGTTCTGTCATCTGCCACCACTAAGAACAGTCTAGCTTCTTGATTGCTCTAGCTTGTTTTTTCTCCAGCAGATCTAAACCACTGCAGCCCAAGTTATTACTCCTGTTGATCATGGACTCAAGGGATTCTTGAGTACTTTAACTTGCTTAAATTTTGCACGTATTGCATTCTTCCTCCTGTTTCTCTCCTTTTCCTACCCTAATCCTTTCCTTATTATGCAGTTCACTTCCTTCCTTCACCTAAATTAGTACTTTTCAAATTTTGGCTAACTTAATGTTTGTTCTGTGTGAGTACATGTGAACTGCAGCTATTGTTGTGACTCCAGTGTAGCGTAGACATAATGACCTAGCTTTAAATGAAATCATTGGTTTGATTTAATAACTGTAGTATTTCAAGTTTTAACAGAATGCAGGCTGCCTTGTCTAGGTTACTACTGGTACAGGAGTAAACTGTTTTAAAAATACTTTAGGTGGGCATTTTTACATTTGCTTTGAGACGCAGCACCAGGTGTTTTAATTAATGAGCTGTGCTAATTAAAAGCACCTGCATGTCACGTGGATCAGTATCCCTGCGTGTCCCTGCCCTGAACAAATGGCGGCAGGGTGCTTTGAATTAAAGCTCATTGAATATGTTTTATTTCAAACCTCCCCATTGCCGTTTTTTCCGTGCAGGGACACTGATACACATGATGCAGAAGGCTGCTGGAGCGCATCAGTTTCTCTGCTCCAGCAGACTAGATTAATTGAGTTTGCCCTGATGTGCATAGGAAAAGTTGACACCGTTTTAGTTCTGTTTCTTTCAAGCTAAAGCTGCGACTTTTTTTCCCCCCTTGATTATATTGTTAAGGATATCCAGTGTTAGCCTTTTTCAATTAAAAAGGTGTTGATGCAGCATTTTCTATATTTTGAGACTTTTATGTAACTTTTAGAAATTGAAGTTTTCTGTGTGGCTTTTCTGCAAAACTGTATTCATGCAAATGAACACCAAAGAACATCTATTCCTACAGAATTGGGTGTTTGCACTTTATTAATAGAAACTTCCTTTTTTGAAATGATAGCGAAGGTGTCCTATTTTGTCACCACCTAGGTGAAGGGTTCAGAGCTTACTATTGAAGCAGCTGTAGCAATGCATACCATGCAATATTGAGGACATTTTAGCAAGTTTTTATAAGCAGGTTGCTTAGCCTGCTGGCTCCTCCAGGCTGGCTTTGCTCCTTGGAAGAGCTCCACAGTTGGTCCTCCAAATAATAAACACAGTGTTTGCACCACAAACAAACCAACAAACAAAAGCTCTTCAGCCCTGTTCAGCTGCAGTACCAGGGACCCTTTGGCACAGTAGCATGACCCCTTCCTGGTAGTGAGCTTGTTTGGGTTGCAGTTTGCCTTCTTCCTGCAAACTGTTCCTTCAACTCATTTGCCTTCTGCTGTCTTCTGTGGGACTTTTAGGCTTCTAGTGGGACACTTCCTCACTGTCTAAGCATCCACAGTTGGGTTTTTTCAGCAGGGCTGCCTGTTCCCTCTTAAAGTCCCAGACTGCCCCGTTACGGTAATGTTCTCATAGAGGCCAGCACAGCAGTTAATGCCTTCATTCTACAGGCCTTGTTATAAGGTATATCTTGTGTGTTTTGTGATGGGGGAGCACCATTGGTGCTCTGTCACTTTAAGGGCTGAGAGCAGGCAGGTGCAGGCCAGTCCTGATGAGGTAGCCATTTTACATCCTGGCTCCCAGGGCTGAAGCAGCAGTTTGCTGTTGCTCCTTCGGCTGCTCGCATCACGCGGTTGAGGTGCTGCTCACAGACCACCTTAGTGGTCAGGAAGGAACTATTGGGATGGCAGGAGGTTCCTATGGGCACAGTGGGGTTCCTAGTCCCGGGAATCAGGCCAGGGCCTAATACAGGGGTGGGCAAAATGCGGCCTGGGAGCCAGATGTGGCCCACCAGGCCATTCTATCCGGCCCGCAGGGCCCCTAAAAAAAACCCAGAAAATTAATATTAATCTGCCCTGGTCTGCCTGTCATGCAGCCCTCAATGGCTTACCAAAACTCAGTAAGCAGCTCTCTGCCCAAAATAATTGCCCGCCCCTGGCCTAATGTAACAGCAAGGCTCAGCCTAGCAAAGGGGCTAACAGCTTGCAGGCCTGCACAGGGGCTAGGCAAGCCCCTGATAAGAGCTGTCAGGGGTGAGGCCTAGGGCTCAGGTGAGCCCATTTGAGAGAAGGGCTGGTCTATTAAGATCTTCAAGGCTCTTAGCAAGCCCAAGGGGAGATGGCCATATGCTGGGGCCCAGAAGGAGACCCCTCTGATCCACAGAGGGCAGCAGAGGTTAAGCTAGCCCTCTTATCCCTCGACTGGTCAATGTAAGGGGGCCAGGGCCTAAAGGCCAAAGAGCGATTGAGCCCACCACAAGGGTCAGGCCAGGGCTGTGGAGAGCCATCTGGCACCCCAACTGGCCTGGAGGCAGGGCCAGGCCTCAAACAGGCCAAAGGTCCTCCCCCTTGAGAGGACGTCACAGCTGGCAGAGGGTAGGGCCTAGTCAGTGTGCATGCTGCTGTGAAGGTGGCGGCCAGCAGAAGGAGGCTGCCATAGAAGTCCTAGGACTGAGAACAGCCCAGGAACATCACATAGCCCAATAGGAATAAGACCAGTGCAGGTAGACCTGCTTGGTCCTGGGTAAGACTGTGGCAGGACAGTCTCCCAGAAATGCCAAGCTAGTTACCTCCCTGGTGAAAGGTGGATAGGGGCGCCTGATAACCCCAGCCCCCACCATCCGGTGGGTCATTAAGACTGGAGGGTAGCAGGGCCAAGCAAACCTGTGGGAGAGGCACCTGAGCCCATGGGGGTGTAAGACCCCAGTGGTAGTGGGGGCCAGGCACGCCTGTGGAGAGGCACCTGAGCCTGTGCAGCTGTAATACCCTGAGACCCCAGCATAGGGGTGGAGTAGTTATGCCGGTGAAGGGGTGCAGTGTTGAGTGCCCCAAGAAAGCCTTTGGATGCTTGAGGGCAAGTAATTGGCCCTAGTTACAGGGTGCAAAGGAGGCATTGTTTAACTTGGCGAGCACCATGAAAGAATCCTTCGAGCTACTAAATCAACACATGGTAGTGCGAGTTAAACCCTTGGAAACAAACCTGTTTGTTAAATGATGGCTTGGTCCTTGGAGAGTGGTAGTTAGCCATGTCAGTCTGAAGTCAGAAGGATAAATTATAGAATCATAGAAAATTAGGGTTGGAGGTAATTTAGTTCAACCCCCTGCTTAAAGCAGGACTATCTTTATAGACTAACTAAATAAGATTCATAAGCAGAAACTTCTGTGAACCCAAGTGGAGGAGGCCATGTGGAATTGTGACTTCATTTATTTATTTATTTTTGCTTTGTTTTCTTGGAAGAAAATTTACTTTTTAAATGAATCAGCTTCTGTACAAACATGTAGTCATCTATGCTAACAAGGATGTTTTCTAGTTTTATGTGAATAAAGACAGGGCAATGTGATTTCTGGTCTAAAACACAAATAATTCTTGTAAATACTGTAATTAAGACTCAAACTGCATCAGATATGTGGCAGAGATTTTTATGGGCAGTATCTCTTATTGGACTGTTGACTTGGGAGGGACATAGATTAGGTTTTGGGTACCAGTGTACCCTTTTTTACATGTCGGGGGAGAGGATGGGGAAAGAACAGACATTGCCATACACTGCCATCAAATGTGTGCCATTCATCTATTTAGTGCTCTTGTACAGAAAGGTGGATAGCCATGCTAATCTAAAGTCAGGCAGAAGGCAGGGCAGGGTGTCACCTTAAGGACTGTTTTCAGAAAGAGAAGAGTTTTTGTAGGCAAAAACTTTACTTTGTCATATGGAGCCATGGGTGGTCTCTCCCTGGCGGCCTGTCAGGGTAGTGCACTTTGTCTAAGAAACGCACAGTCTGGTCCATGCAACTAATTTTTGTCAGTACATTTAGAAAGGGGGAAAATGTTCTTTTGGGACTGAGTGATATGTAGGTAGTGCTTTTCTAATCATTCCACTGCAAGTGAAAGAATAACTCAAGCCAGTGTTATTCTGTGCGAGTATAGAAGTACTACTGTGATGAAATCAGACCTCAATAAAAGATCTTTTGATCTTGGCTGCTGTTTACATAGAAATACTTACACCTCTGGTCTTTGCTAATTATGTAATGGTAATAAAAATGCTATGAATATATGCATATCATCTTTCAAAGGCAGTGACATAATATTCTTCCTAGCCAGCAGAAGTTCAGGTGAATATGTCAGTCTGATCTTTTTCTTTTCTTTATTCCAGTAGCTCCTATTTCCCATGGGAGACTTTGCTACAGAATTGACATGCGAAGGGTTAATCTGATGAAAGCAGATAATACACAAACTAAGGATAAAGCGAAGCATGCCAGTGAAGGACTGAAGTCTTTCATATCCATAGCAACCTTCATCCAAGGAGTTTAATGAATTTTACAAGGCTTTAAGACCCCTTCAGTCCTGTGCTAGGTATGTATTCACTTTGGAAAGTGAGGTAAACTCAACAAGAGTTGAAGAGGCTTGCCCAGGAACATATGTGAAAACAATGGAAAGTCTGTCGAGAACCCAGAACCCTATGCACTAACTATTGGCCTTATCCTTGCAGTATTGCAACTTGATACACTGTCTTGCTTTATCATCCTGAAAATACTACATCAGTGACACTTACTTTCCCACTTTCATTTTTCCTCCTACCCTAGTGTATTTTTATTGATTTCTTTTTTTTAAGAGAATTGGGCTTCTTTTGATGCATGGAAATATGCATGCCAGTTATTTCAAGTTTTCCATTTTATTTTTGGACAGTAAACAGTCTGTTAGTCTTTGCCTGATGTCCTAGGAAGACTAAATTCACATGAGAAGAGCCATCCAGTTAACATCAAAGCGTGGGACAACACACCTGCTTATATGATACATAAATCAATGTTGTCTCCAATATTTTAGTTGTAATACAGTTCTAGATTTATGGACTATAGGAAGATCTGAAAGGAGAATGGCAGTGAATTTTAAATGTGGGTGCCTGCCAGTGTATTCAAGCTGGGTGTTCTGACTTTGGCAACATGGACTGGGCAGTGCATGAGGGAAACCCTGCTATTGTTTGCAGGAAATGTGATGGTGGTTTAGATTTACAAAATCACTGTCAAAATTAACCCATGGTGTTAGAAATGCAGTATCACTTGGAAGTGGAATTTTTGGAAGTGCCCATTTTGACAAATGGCCCTTTAAGTGGGGAACTGTGATCAGGGAACATAATGGCAAGGTCATGCTTCTGGTGCTGACAATTGCTAGTGGTGACAGTTGCAAGGCTATTTTGGGAGTACTATTTTTTTTGTTTTCTCTGAACTCCTGTCTCTGCACTCCCAGATTTAACCCTGATGCTGTTCAGCTGCCACCAAACCTGCCTTTTTTTTTTTTTGTTGAGTGCTGCTCTTTTAGAATATGTATTGACATGTTACTTTTCTGCTAAATGCCATGAAACAGCTAAGTCAGAGGGAGTCAGATGTTATTCAGCACATATTTATGTTAGTTAACTAGCATTTATTAAATCTTGCTATCAACAAAACTTAGTGTAATGTTGGCATGGCACTACCAATTATCACAGATCAGGGTGTTAATAGTTAAAATCTTCAGGCACAGCTGACATTCCTCAGGTTATAGTAGATATTTAATCGCTTCTAAAATTACTTTACTAGTTTCCTAGATATAAACCGTACAACCAATTATAGTATATGTTCCCTAGAGTACCTAAGAGGTAGGATATTATAGATGCACATCAGTGAGACCAAAAATAGTATAAATGTCTTTTGACCAAGGTTAAGGAATAAATCAAGTGATTTGTATTCTACTCTTGGCTCAGTTATATGCTTCCTACATGACACTTGGGAAGTCACCGAGTGCTTGTCTACACTTCTTTTGTGCTGATTCTGCTGCTGCTGCTGAGAAGCATGCCCTGCTCACTCACTCCTGTTCAATGCATACCAAAGCTTGACTTTAGTGTAACCAAATTAGAATGTACTTGCCGCTCCTCTGAGAAGCACACCAGGGACAGAGCCGAAGAGGCATGCTGGATTGCACATTTGGGGACCATGCTAAGCCAGCTATGTTGCCTTACTGTCTAGGATTTGGCAGGAGTAGACAGGGTGTGCATTCAGTGATGGTCTCATAGCCTCTCCTCGTAGGGCCTGCCCTGCTGCCACCTGACCATGCAAGTGGCCCTCCTCTGGACCCTCTCAATGCTGTCCACATCCCTCCTGAAGTGTGGCACCCAGAACTGGATGCAGTATTCCAACTGCGGCCTGACCAGTGTCATATAGAGGAGGAGGATCACCTCCTTGAACCTGCTCGTGATGCATCTGTGGATGCATGAGAAGGTGCAGCCCATGTTCATCTTGGAGTCTATAATGACTCCAAGATCCTTTTCTGGCTCTGTGCTGATGAGAAGGGAGTTCCCCAGCCTGTAGGTATGCTGCTGGTTCTTCCCCCCACAGGTGCAGTACCTTGCACTTGTCAGTGTTGAAACCCATCTTATTCTCATCCGCCCACCCCTGTAACCTGTCCAGATCCAATTGCAGCCTGTCCCTCCCTTCCAGTGTGCCCACTTCTCCCCAGATCTTAGTGTCATCTGTGAATTTGAACAAGGTGCTTTTCACCCCCTTGTCCAAGTCGCTGATGAAGATGTTGAACAGTGCGGGCCCGAGGACCAAGCCCTGGGGGACCCCACTGCCCACATGCCTCCAGGTTGAAAATGACCCGTCCACCACCACTTAGTTATGACAGGTACTCAAAATGGATAAACTGAAAACATGATGTATTTTTCTTTCATCCTTTCTCTAATCTAATCCTATGTTAATTTTAGTTGTATATTGCAGCAGTGAAACATACTTTCAGCCAGTAGTATGTGGTAGCATCCTTTCCAAATCCGGGCATTTCAAAATGCTACAGATACTTTGGTGATGGACATGTTACTTGAGTAATTTTATATTTTACTAGCCTTTATTAAGTATCAAATGTTCTTTCTTGTCTTTTTTTGTAAAAGACATGAAGCATGTGCATGGCTTTCATAGACCCCTGACAGACGGACATCTTAAAACCTAATCCTCAATTCCAATAACTTTATGTCCTGCCATGTCACATGCATGTGGTTAGATGCATGATTTTGGGATCAGGGATTAGGTCCTTATCAGCTTTACTTGCTGGTGCAGTGGGTCCCAGGCTCCTACTGTATCATCAAGGCTAAACCAATCATCTGATTGTCAGCTGTGGCCAGGAACCAAATTGGTCTCCAGCCCCAGCTGACAGTCAGCTTGGTACATAATGAGTCTGCCATTGGCTGGGGCAGCCTGATGCCAGACTCCCTACCATTGGCCGTCTCTCAGAGTTGAGGATGACGTCCCGTCAGGCTTGATGGTTCCTCAGGTGACTGAGGAGCCCGATTCTGGATACACACATTCTTCAACAATGGGGGCATGTTGTTGTGCGGGGGAGTGGGATTCACAGCCCAGGTTGGTCTCCTTCTCCTTCCTCTGCCACCGTCGTTTTGCCTCAGGATCGAGTTGTTGGGCCTTGAAGTGGTGCACACCTTGGTAGACCAGGTGGTGCCACACCAAACAGTCAGTGTCTTGCTCCTCCTCAGCTGTTGGTGTTGATGCCTCTGTGCTTGAGGGTGACCTTGAGTGTGTCTTTGTACTGTTTCCTTTGGTCACCTTTGAGCATTGGCTAATAGAGAGTTGGGATAAGAGAATCTGGCGAGGGAGGTGGTTCTCAGACATCCAGATGGAGCGCCCACCCACCAGAGTTGATTTCTCAAGAGCAAGGCTTTGATGCTGGTAGACGCAGCTTCATGGAGGACACATCTGCTGCTGGTCTGGTGGTCCTCCCATTTGATCCCCAGGATTCGATGCAAGCACCGCTGCTGAAAGCTCTCGAGGGTCTTAATGTGGCGTCAGTAGATGATCCAGGTTTCACTGCAGTAGGGGAGCGTGGTCAGCATGACAGCCTTGTAAACAAGGGCCTTTGTTGACTTCCAAAGGTCTCTATTTTTGGAGACACGTTGTTGCAGCTTGAAAAAGGTGGCACTGGTGCAGTTGACCTGGTACTGGACTTCTTCAGTGATGATAACCTGTTGAGAGAGGTGGCTGCCAAGATACGGATAGTGCTCCGCATACTCCAGAGCCTCCCCATATATGTAGATAGTGCGAGGGATGTTCAGCTGGCCTGTGGAGGGTTGGTGGAGAACCTTTGTCTTAGCGATGTTCAAGGATACCAGGTGCTGTATAAGCATTGTGCACCAGGACCTGTCAAAACCAGGTACAGACTAAATCAAACCCTTTCAATTGCTTCACTTGCAATGCAAAACTTATTGTAGTTCAAGCAATCTTTGATCCAAAGAAACCTAGTTCAGGCTTCCAGGGGAATAGTTTCATTTAAAAACAAAATGCTAAATAACCATTTTCTTCCTTTGTTAGCCTTTTTTGTGTTTGTGTAGTAATGCCTACTGCAGGGGGCTTAAACAATTAAGGGCAGTCTGTCCTCTGAGGAGCTTTCAGTCTAAAAACAGGTAAGGGAAAAGAGGTTGTAACAAGCAAGCTGCATGCAAACTCCTTTGCTATATATATAGATGAGAGTGATTTCATAGACATTAGGGCTGGAAGGGACCTCGGAAGATCGAGTCCAGCGCCCTGCCCAAAGGGCAGGAAGTCAGCTGGGGTCATAGGATCCCAGCAAGATAAGCATCCAGTTTGCTCTTGAAGGTGTTCAATGTAGGCGCTTGAACCACCTCCGGTGGCAGGCTGTTCCAGACCTTGGGGGCTCGGACAGTAAGGAAGAATTTCTTTACTGTCCGAGCCCCTTTGGGCAGGGGGCTGGACTTGACGGAGGTGGTTCAAGCGCCTACATTGAACACTCGGGGTCCCCGTCCAGCCCTGATGTTGGATATCAGTTTGGTAAGGGGCAGAGGGGCTGTACTGATGCATATAGGGCTATATGAGAGGAAGGAGTAGAGGAGATGGTGCCAAAATCAAGAGTGGGTGGAAGAGGTTGGTATCATTGTTGGAACAAATGTATGGGGACAGAGCTATATATAGCTTCAAAGGTGATGGCAACATTTTGAACTTGGAACTATGTTGGATAAGAAGTCTGTAGAAGAATTAAAAACATTTGCATGAATAAACTGGAGAAAGTTTTAGTAGCAGTATTTCTTTTAGATCGAAGGAGTAACGTAACATACCTTTTGGGAGGCTGAAGAGAAGGAGATAAATTAATGAGTCAGACTCCTTTTTTCATTAACTCTGCTTTTTCTAATTTCTTCAGTTCTCACCAGAATGGGGGGTTTCTGCATGTAAAAAAACCTGAGCTGCTAAATACTATTCTGCTTGCCAGAAACTGGTGAGGATTCAAGCCAATGGACCCAACTCAGCAGTGTTCTTCCCTTATGAGCCTATGTTTATTCATAGTAACAGTCCGCATGCCATAAA